TAATGAGCTAGAGCTAATGACGTCAGAAACTACCCACTCCTGAAACCTCCTGATTTATCTCCTGGATTCAGACTGAGGCGGCCCACAAAAACATGACTGAGTCATTTTTTTTCACACAATGCCTGCTGATAGGCCCTCCACAGTCCCAAATGTACATAACCCTGTAATGCCAAATGTGTCATATTTGATACGGTTTCTGAAATGTTTTACGTCTGACACCTTTTGCTTAATTTAATGGTAAAAACTTTGCTCAAAATTTTATTGTACACAATCAGATACGCCTGATAACAGGGGGCAGAAGACTACACAAAAAATAATCTTGACTTATCGCATAATAATAAATTATTAATATTATAAAACTATTTCTGTTTTTTCCTTTTACATATTTTGTTAAAAGGCCAAATAAGGAATTCAAACAAAAAAAAAGTAATTTTCTGTTTTGTTCTATTCTTGGATCAGGCTTTAAAGGGATAATCAAATGATTAAAAACTTGGTTTTGCATAGTATGTCGCTTTTAAACATTTAAACAACGAGTTGAGGTTACAGACAATCTGCTGTTCACCTAACATGGAAAACAATCCGGACTTTCGGTCAAACTTCTCCTTTTCAAATCCTTGCTCTGTGCCTTCACGCTGCAGGATCCAGGTCAGCATGAGTCCAAAAAAGGCCCCGAAGACGTGGAGCTGCATGAGGCTGTTCAGGGGCCGGACCTGGAGGTGGGAACACCAACAGTTTTTACAGACAAAAGCTATTCTTAGGACACTACGGACTACGGAGGACTATATCTTACGCTCAGGAGAGTCCGGAGGATCCATTCATTCAGGACAAATCCAGAAACGTTGAACAGGGCAATGAGGACGAGCTGGACGGGGTTGGTCTTCCCCAGAACGGTTCCCATGGAGACCAGGGCACAAGCCGCACAAATCTCAGCAGATAAGATGCTACATGAGATATTAACATCATTATTACGTGTGTCACTTTCTGAGAAATATCTCACACTGATCGACAACTTTGTTTAGATGGAAGTTAATGATAAGGTGTTGGGTTATAGTGTGGATGTGACATTTATTTTTCTGTATTTTGGTAATTTTCCTGAGGAATTAGACAAAGATGATGAGTATCTTTTAAAAATTATGACGGCAGCAGGGAAAAAGGCAATTACCAAATATTGGCTTCAGAAAGTTACACCCACTTTAGGCACATTTGTTGACATAGTAAAACATTTACATCTCATTGAGCAGATTACCTTTTCCTTAAGGTTACAAAAAGAAATTGGAGAAAGAAAATGGGTAAAATGGTCCGTTTACATGAATGACAGAACAAACAACACAGGTTAATCAGACTATTGTTCTGTATTGATTGTATTGTATTTGCGGTGATGTGCATTAATGACCTCAAGCTTTCTTTTCTCTTTTTGTTCTTATTTGTATTTGTCTTGCCTTAATTCACAAAAAATACCATAAATAAAAAGTATAAAAAAACAACTTTAGATGAAAAAAGGAGAATCATCGGAAGTTTTGGGGTCAAGCATGACCAAATATTATCATTTGTACGGTGTTTATCTTTATGTTTATGCATTTGGCAGATGCTTTTATCCAAAGCGACTTACAGAGTAGAAACAATATTACATTTATCATCACTATGACAATAAGCTATCCAGAGGAGAAACACTGATCAGAGTCAGTGGTGAGATAGAGATAGAGGTAGAGGGACTACAGAAGGAGCTGTGGGGGGTAGAGGTACGGGTTAGGGTTAGGATAGGAGCTGTGG